AATTCCATGAAACAATTTGTTTACACAAAATTAATTTTTAATTTTTCATGTCTTTATTAGAAAATATAATTTTCTTATTAAATAAGTCATGCTTATTTATTCTTTAATTACTAATTAGATAGAAATGGAAATAAAATAATACATGGATTGAAAGAAGAATATCATCCATTTTTTTAAGATATCAAAAATATGATCAATATTATTAATTTAAAGGATTCAAATTATATTCTTTGCTTCAAATATCTAGTATCCATTTGTATGATATTGTTCGAAAGACACGTGGAGATATTTGAAGTATAGTTCAACATTTAATCGTTTAAATATTAATGACATTTGAAGTTCATATATTAATAATGTAATAAATGTAATCACCTACCTTTCTACTTTAAATCTATATTTATAAATTTTAGAGTGAACCTTTCATTACCAATGACCTAATTGTGACCCAATTGGTAATCACACTTTACCTTAAGTTAATAAACATTAAAATTAATCTTCTTATCAATTGATCGTTTGGTGCGCTTTCAAAATTGTCGAGTTATGAAAATGATTCATGAAAGAGTTGGACTAACTAACTTTTGACCATGTATGAATTGATTGGACAATCATACAATACAATTACTTAATTGTCTAAATTAATTGAACATCCATATTATACAATTACTTAATTAATTACCTGTAATGTTGGTGTTTCACCTTAGTAACATTTAAAACCTATATTAATGCCATGTTTGTAATTAGGGGAAGAAAGATAAATGAACATGGAAATGGCACTAACATTTATTTTGGATTTGACAAATAAGTATAAAATTTTTAATGTTAAAAAAAATGCTTTCTTCACAAAATGCCAAAAAAGCCATCAACATTTTTTTAAGATAAAAATATAAAAGAAATATAAATTAAAAATAAATAAATTTTTAAAAAATATTTATTATTATTATAATAATAATTTAAATATAAATTTATACCATAAAAGAAATTCGCGTGCATACTTTGTTTTTTAATTATAGTTTTTACTAAGTCATTATTTTTTAATTTATATATTTAATTATTTTTACTAAGAAATTTTAATCATTTTGATTTGATTATTTCTTAAAACTTAATCATTTTTTAAATTAAAATAATTATATATAATAAAAAAAATAGTTACAATAAAATTGTAAAAATTAATAGAAAAATAAAAACTACCTACAATAAAATTGTAAAAATTATTTAAATTAAATTTACTTTTATAATTTTAATAATAATAATTTTATTATTATTTTTATCATGAAAAAAAGTGAACAGTAAAAATACATGTGTTTTCACTTGTTAAAATAATAAAAATAATATTAAAATAATAAATGAAAACTAGTAATATAAAAATTTATTTCCGTTTTTGTCATTTAATTTTTAATTTATTATAAAAAATTAAATAATTAATATAATATTTATAAAATAAAATAAAAATGATTGTTTTAGCCACTAATTAAATCTACTACACAATTTCTACTTATTTACTTTTTGTTAATTTAATCTATTTCACTTTTTATTCTCTTTTTCTTCCTCCTTTCTTACCATTTTCATTCTCACTGCAATCCAAACAAACCTAGGATTCACCTCGAGAGCATTCTTACGAGAAAATTTTCAAAAATAATACTAGTGCAACATTTACTTAAACAAGTGGATGAGAATTATGTTTTTGGACTATATCCAAATTTTAATAAAAATAACTTTCGCAATAATTAATCTTAGCATTTTTCATTAGATTCAGTCCACTTGTACTACAATGTTAATGTAAACTTTAATTCATTTAATGTAACTTTAATTCATTTAGCGCGTTTAACTTTTTAAAAATAAAGATAAATTGGTATATCAAAGTAAAAACAAAATTGAAATACAAAATTTACACTCACACATTCAGACCCTATTAAAACACACCAAAAACCCCAAGTAGTGTGATCCATCTACCAAGAAGTGAGTGGGCGTCTCAGTTAGTGGAGAACAGGTGGCTGCAAGGGAGTGACCGTTCGTTTTGGGCGACGACAGTATTTAAGGCAAAATTTCAAATGTCGTGCCACTTCTCTGCATGCCTTTCTTCTTCCCCACCCTGTTGAAACCATTTTCTCCTTCTCCTATCTAAAATCTGCTCCTTCTCTCTAAGAGGTCTTAACCATTTCTTCTTCCGATCACCTCTCAGGCACCGTCTGAACACTCCCGGAGTCGAGGGCGTTCGTTTGAACCGATCAGTTTTGGATTCTAGACTGCTAAGTTCATCTCTCTCAGCCGAGTGGTTTTTCTGTACATGCAAACTCAGTTTTCGGTTACATGAGTTCCTTAACCCATTTCTGAACGCCTTTCCGGCCTTTCATTTGGTTAGTTTCGTAAATCGTGATCGTAGTCTTCTAAGAGATGGGTGGTGAGCTATTCTGTTCAAATTGTGAACGTTCGGTCACGCTTAGAGGTAAGAGAACCTTATATAATTTGATTTAAATTCTTGTTTGAACGTTGGCATGTTTGCATGATACGTTGTTTGATTATTTGATGAATATGAGATATGTGTGTACTGCTTGTTTGGACGTGTGGATGGATGAATGATGCATGTGGTGAATTGAGTTGAGATAGAGATTGATCGTCAACTGTAGTATTCTGTGTAAAGGTGGTAATCTGGTCGAGCGTCCGTCTATATTAGGTTCTCTTATACAAGGAATTACGGTAATAACGAGCGTGTTATAATATTAGAATGTAAATATGAGTGATCAGCCTAAGTGTAGTTCTCCTTTAGACTTCCTGAACAGTTTAGTTAACGTGTCATATACTACTCAAGGTCGTAGACGTTATCGTTCTTTTCATTCAGAATAAGTGGTGGCTCAATTGTATATATATTCATTCATTTTCTGTGAGTTTATTAGTGATCGGTCTTGGACCAATCTTTCAGTTTCAGTAGCGCTCGTTCCTGATAAGCACTTGGTCTTGGACCGGCGCTCGTTCAAAAGTGTTCGGTTTCTACAAGGCTCGGTCTTAAACCAAACGCTGAATCTTGTTTTCTGTAATATAGTATTACTGTGCTTAGAATCAAAATCTTTATTCAAACTAGATAGTGTTCGTTAATTCATAGTTTCTCATCAGTATTATTATTTAGTATAAGTCAGTGTTAGTCTTTAAAAGGTGTTCGGCCTAGAGTCTTAGTACTCGGCCTAGGCTTCGTGGCGTCCAGTTTGAACTCTTAGGAGTTTGTTTATTAAAGTAGATGAGTAGCGCTCAGTCTGGTTAGTTTCTAAGAAGTGTTATTCCAATCGTACTTGGGCTATGATAAGAGCGTATGCTCTTATTTCATTTGAATGTATGGATGATTAAGTATGAGGAAAAATTGACATGTGATGTATATGAAATAGTTGATTATGAACGAGTATTCCAGGGAGGAATATCTCCGAAAGTGGTTATTGATTGGTAAAGTATGAATGTGGGCAAAGCTTAGCGGGCGTTCATCCTGATATTCCATGATTACTCGTTCTCATGTAGAGAGGAGTAAGTCACGTGTGGGAATGACAGGAGGTCCTAGTCCATAAGGTTAACTTGGACAGAACGGATCAACCTCGGGTGACAGCTGTTGAGGGTATCCCGGTTACTACATCACCCGGATGCACGAACGTCATAGCTACACAGGATTCATATAGTCCAGACAGTCAGAGTCATGTGGTCGTTATTTGCATGCATTGATGTATGAATTATGATGTGGTCGTTGTTGGTTTTGTTATGAATGTTGTATGTTGTGATTGAATAAATTAAATTACATAAATTTATCCTGTTTATTATTTTTATCTGTGTTGTGCGTCCTGTTGCAAACCTAGGATTCACCTCGAGAGCATTCTTACGAGAAAATTTTCAAGAATAATACTAGTGCAACATTTACTTAAACAAGTGGATGAGAATTATGTTTTTGGACTATATCCAAATTTTAATAAAAATAACTTTCGCAATAATTAATCTTAGCATTTTTCATTAGATTCCGTCCACTTGTACTACAATGTTAATGTAAACTTTAATTCATTTAATGTAACTTTAATTCATTTAGCGCGTTTAACTTTTTAAAAATAAAGATAAATTGGTATATCAAAGTAAAAACAAAATTGAAATAAAAAATTTACACTCAGACGAACCCCAGCGGAGTAGTGACAGACGATAAAATAGGTTAGATTATACAGAAATTAAAAAATAATTAAAGAACAAAAACTTTCCAGAAATGAGTAAAGGTAGTTAACTATACGTGAAATTTAAAACACCATTTTTAGAATATAGTACAAGTGTGCTGCAATTGCAGCAATAAGTGTGTTGTCTTTGGAGCTATAAGTGTGTGCCACTGCAGAGCTCTGATTCAATCACTTCTTCTCACAAAGCTCAAAGGAAGAAAGAGAATTATGGTGGGTCTGCTTCTCTTTCACTCTTCCGTCTCTCTCTTTTTTCTCCATTAGTTTAATTTACAGTTTCTTTCCAATTCATGAACAGGAAGTAGAACAAGCAACCAGATGGGAAGGGTATGTGAACTGGAGGAACAAACCTGCTCTTAGAGGCCGTCACGGTGGCATGCTTGCTGCCTCCTTCGTTTTGGGTATGTCTCTGAGACTTTTCTAATCATTTCACAGAACCCTAATCTGAAAGTGTGTGTTTGTGCAGTGGTGGAGGTACTGGAGAGTCTTGCGTTTGTGGCGAATGCAAGCAATTTGGTGTTGTACATGATTAAGTACATGCACATGTCTCCTACAAATTCTGCAAACAGTGTCACAAATTTCATTGGAACGGCCTTCCTCCTTGCCCTCCTTGGTGGTTTCTGCTCTGATGCTTTTCTCACCACTTATCAAACCTTTCTCATTAGTTCAGTTTTTGAATTCCTGGTATGCACCCTGTTCTACCCTATACCTACTTTTCCTTCTGTTCCATTTCTTTTTGCACAATTCACTGTTATAAATATCGAAAATCCGCCATTGATTTTTAAGAGATTTCGAAAATAAAATTTCACCATCTTTCCCTTTTTACTTGCTTTCTTTTTGTTGGAATGTTCGCATCCCCACCACCAAGATCCTTTTCCCTTCTTCTGTGTCTTACCAAGTAAATATAATATTTATTGTGTGAGTTATTTTCTAAATATAATACATTTTCTTAATAAAATATTTAAAAGATTTTCTGTTTACTCGTTTTATTTGGGATGAAAACATGCAGAATGGAAAGCATGTGAGTTTGTTTATGTCATTTCTAAATTAAACGTTTATCTTCATTTTTATTTATATATTCAAGTAGTGTACACGTTATCTTTTTATTACATCCTTACCTGTTTGAGGAATGTCAATGGATTTTAATGGTGTTATTAATGATTATTTGAATTTATGCATTCATTAATTATTATTATTATATATTCATTTACTATATTTATGAGCTTTGTTTTCATATACTAATTGTTAGTAAACATTTGAGGAATGATAATAACTTTAGTGATATTATTAATTATTGCAATATTTAATAATTAATCATTTCTAAATTAAAAGTTTATCTTCATTTTTATTTATATATTCAAGTAGTGTACACGTTATCTTTTTATTACATCCTTACCTGTTTGAGGAATGTCAATGGATTTTAATGGTGTTATTAATGATTATTTGAATTTATGCATTCATTAATTATTATTATTATATATTCATTTACTATATTTATGAGCTTTGTTTTCATATACTAATTGTTAGTAAACATTTGAGGAATGATAATAACTTTAGTGATATTATTAATTATTGCAATATTTAATAATTAATCATTTCTAAATTAAAAGTTTATCTTCATTTTTATTTATATATTCAAGTAGTGTACACGTTATCTTTTTATTACATCCTTACCTGTTTGAGGAATGTCAATGGATTTTAATGGTGTTATTAATGATTATTTGAATTTATGCATTCATTAATTATTATTATTATATATTCATTTACTATATTTATGAGCTTTGTTTTCATATACTAATTGTTAGTAAACATTTGAGGAATGATAATAACTTTAGTGATATTATTAATTATTGCAATATTTAATAATTAATCATTTCTAAATTAAAAGTTTATCTTCATTTTTATTTATATATTCAAGTAGTGTACACGTTATCTTTTTATTACATCCTTACCTGTTTGAGGAATGTCAATGGATTTTAATGGTGTTATTAATGATTATTTGAATTTATGCATTCATTAATTATTATTATTATATATTCATTTACTATATTTATGAGCTTTGTTTTCATATACTAATTGTTAGTAAACATTTGAGGAATGATAATAACTTTAGTGATATTATTAATTATTGCAATATTTAATAATTAATCATTTCTAAATTAAAAGTTTATCTTCATTTTTATTTATATATTCAAGTAGTGTACACGTTATCTTTTTATTACATCCTTACCTGTTTGAGGAATGTCAATGGATTTTAATGGTGTTATTAATGATTATTTGAATTTATGCATTCATTAATTATTATTATTATATATTCATTTACTATATTTATGAGCTTTGTTTTCATATACTAATTGTTAGTAAACATTTGAGGAATGATAATAACTTTAGTGATATTATTAATTATTGCAATATTTAATAATTAATCATTTCTAAATTAAAAGTTTATCTTCATTTTTATTTATATATTCAAGTAGTGTACACGTTATCTTTTTATTACATCCTTACCTGTTTGAGGAATGTCAATGGATTTTAATGGTGTTATTAATGATTATTTGAATTTATGCATTCATTAATTATTATTATTATATATTCATTTACTATATTTATGAGCTTTGTTTTCATATACTAATTGTTAGTAAACATTTGAGGAATGATAATAACTTTAGTGATATTATTAATTATTGCAATATTTAATAATTAATCATTTCTAAATTAAAAGTTTATCTTCATTTTTATTTATATATTCAAGTAGTGTACACGTTATCTTTTTATTACATCCTTACCTGTTTGAGGAATGTCAATGGATTTTAATGGTGTTATTAATGATTATTTGAATTTATGCATTCATTAATTATTATTATTATATATTCATTTACTATATTTATGAGCTTTGTTTTCATATACTAATTGTTAGTAAACATTTGAGGAATGATAATAACTTTAGTGATATTATTAATTATTGCAATATTTAATAATTAATCATTTCTAAATTAAAAGTTTATCTTCATTTTTATTTATATATTCAAGTAGTGTACACGTTATCTTTTTATTACATCCTTACCTGTTTGAGGAATGTCAATGGATTTTAATGGTGTTATTAATGATTATTTGAATTTATGCATTCATTAATTATTATTATTATATATTCATTTACTATATTTATGAGCTTTGTTTTCATATACTAATTGTTAGTAAACATTTGAGGAATGATAATAACTTTAGTGATATTATTAATTATTGCAATATTTAATAATTAATCATTTCTAAATTAAAAGTTTATCTTCATTTTTATTTATATATTCAAGTAGTGTACACGTTATCTTTTTATTACATCCTTACCTGTTTGAGGAATGTCAATGGATTTTAATGGTGTTATTAATGATTATTTGAATTTATGCATTCATTAATTATTATTATTATATATTCATTTACTATATTTATGAGCTTTGTTTTCATATACTAATTGTTAGTAAACATTTGAGGAATGATAATAACTTTAGTGATATTATTAATTATTGCAATATTTAATAATTAATCATTTCTAAATTAAAAGTTTATCTTCATTTTTATTTATATATTCAAGTAGTGTACACGTTATCTTTTTATTACATCCTTACCTGTTTGAGGAATGTCAATGGATTTTAATGGTGTTATTAATGATTATTTGAATTTATGCATTCATTAATTATTATTATTATATATTCATTTACTATATTTATGAGCTTTGTTTTCATATACTAATTGTTAGTAAACATTTGAGGAATGATAATAACTTTAGTGATATTATTAATTATTGCAATATTTAATAATTAATCATTTCTAAATTAAAAGTTTATCTTCATTTTTATTTATATATTCAAGTAGTGTACACGTTATCTTTTTATTACATCCTTACCTGTTTGAGGAATGTCAATGGATTTTAATGGTGTTATTAATGATTATTTGAATTTATGCATTCATTAATTATTATTATTATATATTCATTTACTATATTTATGAGCTTTGTTTTCATATACTAATTGTTAGTAAACATTTGAGGAATGATAATAACTTTAGTGATATTATTAATTATTGCAATATTTAATAATTAATCATTTCTAAATTAAAAGTTTATCTTCATTTTTATTTATATATTCAAGTAGTGTACACGTTATCTTTTTATTACATCCTTACCTGTTTGAGGAATGTCAATGGATTTTAATGGTGTTATTAATGATTATTTGAATTTATGCATTCATTAATTATTATTATTATATATTCATTTACTATATTTATGAGCTTTGTTTTCATATACTAATTGTTAGTAAACATTTGAGGAATGATAATAACTTTAGTGATATTATTAATTATTGCAATATTTAATAATTAATCATTTCTAAATTAAAAGTTTATCTTCATTTTTATTTATATATTCAAGTAGTGTACACGTTATCTTTTTATTACATCCTTACCTGTTTGAGGAATGTCAATGGATTTTAATGGTGTTATTAATGATTATTTGAATTTATGCATTCATTAATTATTATTATTATATATTCATTTACTATATTTATGAGCTTTGTTTTCATATACTAATTGTTAGTAAACATTTGAGGAATGATAATAACTTTAGTGATATTATTAATTATTGCAATATTTAATAATTAATCATTTCTAAATTAAAAGTTTATCTTCATTTTTATTTATATATTCAAGTAGTGTACACGTTATCTTTTTATTACATCCTTACCTGTTTGAGGAATGTCAATGGATTTTAATGGTGTTATTAATGATTATTTGAATTTATGCATTCATTAATTATTATTATTATATATTCATTTACTATATTTATGAGCTTTGTTTTCATATACTAATTGTTAGTAAACATTTGAGGAATGATAATAACTTTAGTGATATTATTAATTATTGCAATATTTAATAATTAATCATTTCTAAATTAAAAGTTTATCTTCATTTTTATTTATATATTCAAGTAGTGTACACGTTATCTTTTTATTACATCCTTACCTGTTTGAGGAATGTCAATGGATTTTAATGGTGTTATTAATGATTATTTGAATTTATGCATTCATTAATTATTATTATTATATATTCATTTACTATATTTATGAGCTTTGTTTTCATATACTAATTGTTAGTAAACATTTGAGGAATGATAATAACTTTAGTGATATTATTAATTATTGCAATATTTAATAATTAATCATTTCTAAATTAAAAGTTTATCTTCATTTTTATTTATATATTCAAGTAGTGTACACGTTATCTTTTTATTACATCCTTACCTGTTTGAGGAATGTCAATGGATTTTAATGGTGTTATTAATGATTATTTGAATTTATGCATTCATTAATTATTATTATTATATATTCATTTACTATATTTATGAGCTTTGTTTTCATATACTAATTGTTAGTAAACATTTGAGGAATGATAATAACTTTAGTGATATTATTAATTATTGCAATATTTAATAATTAATCATTTCTAAATTAAAAGTTTATCTTCATTTTTATTTATATATTCAAGTAGTGTACACGTTATCTTTTTATTACATCCTTACCTGTTTGAGGAATGTCAATGGATTTTAATGGTGTTATTAATGATTATTTGAATTTATGCATTCATTAATTATTATTATTATATATTCATTTACTATATTTATGAGCTTTGTTTTCATATACTAATTGTTAGTAAACATTTGAGGAATGATAATAACTTTAGTGATATTATTAATTATTGCAATATTTAATAATTAATCATTTCTAAATTAAAAGTTTATCTTCATTTTTATTTATATATTCAAGTAGTGTACACGTTATCTTTTTATTACATCCTTACCTGTTTGAGGAATGTCAATGGATTTTAATGGTGTTATTAATGATTATTTGAATTTATGCATTCATTAATTATTATTATTATATATTCATTTACTATATTTATGAGCTTTGTTTTCATATACTAATTGTTAGTAAACATTTGAGGAATGATAATAACTTTAGTGATATTATTAATTATTGCAATATTTAATAATTAATCATTTCTAAATTAAAAGTTTATCTTCATTTTTATTTATATATTCAAGTAGTGTACACGTTATCTTTTTATTACATCCTTACCTGTTTGAGGAATGTCAATGGATTTTAATGGTGTTATTAATGATTATTTGAATTTATGCATTCATTAATTATTATTATTATATATTCATTTACTATATTTATGAGCTTTGTTTTCATATACTAATTGTTAGTAAACATTTGAGGAATGATAATAACTTTAGTGATATTATTAATTATTGCAATATTTAATAATTAATCATTTCTAAATTAAAAGTTTATCTTCATTTTTATTTATATATTCAAGTAGTGTACACGTTATCTTTTTATTACATCCTTACCTGTTTGAGGAATGTCAATGGATTTTAATGGTGTTATTAATGATTATTTGAATTTATGCATTCATTAATTATTATTATTATATATTCATTTACTATATTTATGAGCTTTGTTTTCATATACTAATTGTTAGTAAACATTTGAGGAATGATAATAACTTTAGTGATATTATTAATTATTGCAATATTTAATAATTAATCATTTCTAAATTAAAAGTTTATCTTCATTTTTATTTATATATTCAAGTAGTGTACACGTTATCTTTTTATTACATCCTTACCTGTTTGAGGAATGTCAATGGATTTTAATGGTGTTATTAATGATTATTTGAATTTATGCATTCATTAATTATTATTATTATATATTCATTTACTATATTTATGAGCTTTGTTTTCATATACTAATTGTTAGTAAACATTTGAGGAATGATAATAACTTTAGTGATATTATTAATTATTGCAATATTTAATAATTAATCATTTCTAAATTAAAAGTTTATCTTCATTTTTATTTATATATTCAAGTAGTGTACACGTTATCTTTTTATTACATCCTTACCTGTTTGAGGAATGTCAATGGATTTTAATGGTGTTATTAATGATTATTTGAATTTATGCATTCATTAATTATTATTATTATATATTCATTTACTATATTTATGAGCTTTGTTTTCATATACTAATTGTTAGTAAACATTTGAGGAATGATAATAACTTTAGTGATATTATTAATTATTGCAATATTTAATAATTAATCATTTCTAAATTAAAAGTTTATCTTCATTTTTATTTATATATTCAAGTAGTGTACAAGTTATTTTATTCACATTTTTATTTATTACATCCTTACATATTTGAGGAATGTCATTAATAACTTTTTATCATTTATATTTTTACTGTTTCAAATAATATTTTACTTTATTTAGTGTGATGTGAAAACGAAAATGATACAAAAATGAAAAATAAAATAAAACTGATGATATTTCTATATTTTTTTTTAAAATAAATTAAACGATATATAAAAGAAACAGATGAAATATTAATTCATTTATTATGTTCGTGAATTTTATTCTGCTATACTAAATACCATATTTATTTTAGTGTAATAAATATTGTTCAAATGAAAATAAATAGTATATTTGTTCATGAAATAGTATATCGTATATTTGTTTTAGTGTAATAGATAGTGTTCAAATATTAATTTTTTATTATTATCTAATGTCGTATACTTGTTATAAATATAACAAAAATTACTATAATAATTTTTTATGATAATTTTTTTAATAGTAAATAAATATTTATTAGTATTTTTAATGTATCTTTTGGGGATATTAAAAATAAAATTTTTATGTAAATATATAAAAAAATACTTATAATATTTTCATATTTACACATTAATTGCCTTGTTTCTTGTTTAATAATGATAGTAATGATTATAATGTTATACTCGTGTGTTTTTAATTTGCCTAATATAAATTCGGTATGTTTTCAATTATTGTAAATATTTATCCATTAAATAATTTTAATACATTAATTTGAACGTATAAAAAATGAGATGACTCTTAGGGCATTTCCATAGGAAGATTTATGCCAAGGGTTAAAAATTTAACATCTAAGTTTTGTAAAATCTCCTCATGAATTTTACAAGATATTTTCATTACACTAGTTTATTGGGACAAAATTTTAAAACAAATTGTATTTTAAATAAGACTGTAATTCATGAAAATAAAATTTATTCTCTCTTTAATTAAATTTCAATTTCTCACAAAATTTTATAGTTTTAATGTCTTTATTAACTTTTTTATATTTTTTAATTGGGTATTCGTAGTTTGTTGTTTTTTTTTGCATGACATCTTACTTTCTTATTTATATGTATTAAGAAATGTAAGGATTTTTAAGTTAATATGAAACAATATTAAATATCAACTATAATTTTATTTTATATTAATCATAAAATTTACATTTTTAAATATATAGAGACAAGACGACAATATGATATAGGAAAATAATCACGTCACTTAATTAATGAAAAAGGTTAAATGAAAATAATTCAATTGAAAAAAAATCTGAGTATAATTTATATAGAACAAATTTAATAGGAACTAATTAAAAATACGTAAATTTAGAAACTTTAAACTTAGTTAAATCTTTATTCTTTTTATATTCTGAAAACTTCAATAACTAAATAGAATGTTAAGTATGAATGTTATACTCTGCTATTAAACTAAAAGTGTTAAAAGGGTCTTAAAAATAATGAGACTGAAACCTAAGAAGATAAATAAAAACATTTAAATTAATTTTGCAATGGATATACCTAAATTGATGAAGGCAAGCGTGGAGGCTTCTTACTGCTAGCTATATATACAGTAGTAGTAGCTAAGGTAGACAACTTTTGTGAAATCTAGTGTAGTTAAAAATTGATTGGTGCCAAAGCTAAAATGTTTTCTCAATTACCTTAAGTCTATCTACAAACTCTTTTGAATGAATATTGTCAATTTTAATGTACACTTTCCTATATTTCATATTATAGAAAAAATTCACACACATTTTTTTAATAAATTTTGCGGGATGATAATTATAGCTCCTTTAAAATATATTTTTTATAATTTTATAAGACAATTTAACCTGGAATGACAACATAATTTGTTTTAATATTGTTAATATATAACAAGTTAATTATTTCATTTTTCCCATAAAAATCTTTAATTTTATTAGTTTTTATTGCTTTTTATTTTATTAAGTGGTAATCAATACATTTTTTAACTAAAATGAGAAAAATAGTGTTAATTTATATTATTGTGTATTTTTAAAACAAAAATGAAGACTTATTTAATTTAACAAGATTTCAGGAGAAGAGGTAAATAAATTTTTCCTCTTGGTATAAAATTTCAATTAAGTCGATAAAGATAGAAAAATAGGTTGTTATGTGGTGGATAAAGATTGAAGTTTTCTTATACAATTAGATTATAGTAGTTCACATGTATATATGTATATCATTCTTAGTGATGCAATTTGTGTGTGCAGGGATTGATTCTGCTTACTGTGCAAGCTCATGTGGCTTCACTGAGGCCAGCAGCATGTGAGGCAGGCACCCCATGCCGTGAAGTGAGTGGTGAAAAAGCAGCGATGCTGTTTGCCGGGCTTTATTTGGTGGCTCTTGGAATTGGAGGGATCAAGGGTTCACTGCCACCACATGGTGCTGAGCAATTTGATGTGAGCACCCCATCTGGAAGGAAGCAACGATCAACCTTCTTCAACTACTTTGTCTTCTGCTTGTCTTTTGGTGGCCTTCTTGCTTGTACATTTGTAGTGTGGCTTGCAGACAACAAAGGTTGGGAATGGGGTTTTGGAATCCCTACCATAAGCATTTTTGTATCTATCCCTGTGTTCTTGGCAGGCTCTTCTACTTATAGGAACAAGGTCCCTTCTGGAAGTCCACTTGCCACCTTTGTCAAGGTACTATAATGTTCTTACTGAAGAGAAGCTGTTTAAGAGACCTGAATGTTATTCTTTTTTTCCCCTAATAATCATGGATATGCTTCCTGGTTTTCACGAAGCAGGTACTGGTTGCTGCTACACTTAATGGTTGCTCCAGCAGAAACTCTGGCAGTGTAGTAGTGAGTACAGCTTCAAGTCCACGTAACGAAAACAAGGAGAGCGAAGCCCTAACAAATAGCCTAAAATTTCTCAACAGAGCAGTTGAAAGCAACCCAAAGTATCCATCAATGAAATGCACTGTGGAACAAGTGGAAGACGTGAAGATAGTGTTGAAAGCACTACCCATATTTTTTTGCACCATTATGCTAAACTGTTGTCTGGCTCAACTAAACACTTTCTCTGTTGAACAAGCGGCAACTATGAACACCAGACTTGGTTCCTTAAAGGTGCCACCAGCCTCCTTGTCAGTTTTCCCTGTGGTCTTCATCATGATCCTGGCACCAATTTACGACCTAGTAATCGCCCCGTTTGCAAGAAAATTGACCAAAACTGAGATGGGAATCACTCACCTCCAAAGAATTGGATTTGGATTAGTCCTCTCAATATTTTCCATGGCAGTGGCAGCGGTTGTTGAAGTAAAGAGGAAAAGGGTGGCCATAAACTCAGGTCTTGTGGATGATGCAACCAAACCACTACCCATCTCATTCATGTGGGTTGCTCTTCAATACTTGTTCCTTGGTTCCGCTGATCTTTTCACCTTTGCTGGGTTGCTGGAATTTTTCTTCACAGAGACATCGATTAGGATGAGATCTTTGGCCACATCACTCAGTTTTGCCTCTTTGGCTGTGGGATACTACTTAAGTTCAGCAATCGTGTCAATAGTAAACAGTGTCACTGGTAACATCTCACACAGACCATGGTTATCTGGTGCCAACCTTAACCACTATCATCTAGACAACTTTTATTGGCTTCTGTGTGTGCTAAGCGTGTTGAACTTCTTACATTACCTGTTTTGGGCCTTCAGATACAAATATAGAGGGATAGGAACCGCAAAAGAATGAAGAAAACTAAGGGGATCGTTTCAAATTGTTCAAGGCCATGGATCAAAATCTTCTCAAACCAGTTCTGTAGCTTTAATTAATTAGCACTAGCATCCAAACCAGTAGAAATCGAATAGGAAGGAGAGATGCATTATTATGTATTAATAAAGATATTTAGATAACTTGTATGGATTTTCATCTTTAAATTTTAATATTCTCATTGTAAAATTTGATGGAGACGGCAGTGTTGCAGCTTAGATGTGCTAGTTTTTTTCTGAGGACTCGTATTATTTTGAAGAACTTTTGAGTGTTTAAATTTTTAATTGTCCCATAAATTCCAGGGAGAAATTCTAATACTCTAGTCGGAAATTTCGCACTATTCTAAGGATGACTGTAATCCTTGATTAACTCTTGACTGCTTTCCTATATTATGCATGATGACGTCTTTATTATATATGCATGACGTATATAATTGGGATGTTACATTAATGGTATCAGAGCAGTTTTTGTTCTTAGAGGATCCTGTAGGGTATATGTGTGCCGTGCTTGTGCTGTGTACTCTTAGCCTTGTGTTGGATGATTGTCCTTGTTTCCTTGGGTTGGACTAATGGTGTTTTCTCTGTATAAGCAGAAAATGGCACCTAGACCACCACCACCTCCTCCTTCTCAGCCTGAGCCTTCTGAGAACACCGTAAGA